TTATCCTGGACAAGTCCAGTATTATTTCAAGCATGAAATTGACTTGCCAAATGGACCTACTGAGCATTATTTGGCTTTTATTAGGTGGTACCGACCAGCAAACGCAGCAAATATTCGGTATCATTTTAGTATTGATGATACCGAAGAAACGGAAACATGCAATGTTGAATTATGAAAAACAGATTTTTTTCCTGAAAGTAGGGATTGTATTATTCCAGTACACAACATTCTTTGCCGATTTGTGCCCGCTAAATATAAAATTTCTTCTAACCGCAACGCAACTGAATATTTAGAGATAAATCCATTAAATCGCAAGTTTCACATTCGGTAATTTACTAAAAGCTACAGAATTTTTCTTTACAATAATTGTTTAACGAATTTTATGGAATTGGTTATTTAATAATAAATAATACGAATAAATTGATTTACAATAAAATTTGACGAATATTTAACTTCAGTGTTTTCTTATTTTACTTATATGTCATTATTATTTATTGATATTAATTAAAATTAATTAAAAAATCAGTTAAAAATCGTCAAAAAAGTTTTAAGTCGATCGTTGTTATTAATAAAAATCGATAAAAAAGAAGTATTGGTCGATTTATGGTTTTTTTTTATGTTACAGCTCAACCAAAAATCGACCAAAAATCGACCAGTTGATTTATGCCGAAATTTTTCTGAATTTTGTAATTAGCCGAATGTGTGACGAATCATGTGACGATGATGACGAACTTTTGACGAAAGGTATTAATGCCTAAAGAAATGATTTCGACCAGTGATATTGATTTATATTCTGAAGTGGTAGTTGTGGTAAAATATAATGAAACTTTTCTTTAATAGATTCCTCAGGTGATTTTTGATTATTCAATGTTGCTATTTGTTTCTCATTACTATATTAAAAAAAAAAAAATAAATATGCATTTTAAAAATAGGTTTGCGTTATAAAACATATTTTTCCTAAAATTCTCCAGAATCAGTAATGAAATTACAGGTCATTCTTCCCAACGTGAACTCTCTGTTATTCTCTGATAATGTCGTTTGATTTCACATAAATTTGACTTGATATGTATTTTCATAATTCTCAAGTAAAACATAACCCTTAGTATTAGTAAAGGGATTCTGTCGGAAATTCCAATGATCATAGTGAAATATTTCCTTAAGTTTAGCTGCTCCTGCAAATCCTTCAAAAAAACATTGATATTTGTGTTTAGCAGGACTATATTTAAACTTTTCTTCATTTTTAAAAAGATATACAAACACATTTTCTGGGAAAGTTTTGATAGAAAAACATTTTTTCCCAATAGCATGACGGGAAAATCCAAGTTTTTTTTTAATAAGAACAATAAAAGAGTTAATATAGTAAGACATTTGTTCTGAAGAAGGTTGGAGAAGCGAACAAAAGTGGGGTATTGTTTTGTTATGTGAATGTTTATTTCTTTCGTGAATAAGCAATTTTTGATAAGTTATAAAAGCTTTAAAACAAAGCTTGCAACTAATAGAAGACTGGCTCACCATAACTACGACACGACCTCTGAAAAAAAACTATGATGTGAAAACTAATATCTGATCAGCTAATCAGAGTTCGTGATTATCACATTGTTGATCAAGGTGACAGAATTGAAGATGAGCGAAATTAGCCCATATGAATAGATACGATTCCATCACTAGTTTTATAAAAAATGTTTAGTGTTAATTATCTCGTGATATATCAATACTAGAGAGATGATTTTACTACCATTTGACACGTCTCGATAAGATGATTCTAATGAGCTATTGCTCGTCTTTATACGATCACTGGTTGCTGAGTTATTTCGATTTTTGCATTTTTTCTTAAAATCAAATAGAACTGAATTGAACTGAACGGTTCTAGTTCAATTTTCATTCGGTTTTAGTTCTTACCTGAACCAGAAAAAAACTGCATCAAACTGACCCGTTCAGAGCTTTAATGAGGTTAATATAGAAGAAAATAAATATATTTATATTGCTGCAGATGAAGCAATTTATAGAAGAAGTATTAGCTATTGCAAAAAAAGTGAAAAAGTAAAATAATTCTTGGGCAATAGCATACAAATAAGAATATGATGTCTGCATTAATTACAATTTTTTTGGGATATGGTATATTTAATATGGCAGAAATATTAGGTGTACAGTTTTGGATAAATTAGAAAAAGATGTGCAGTCAAACCTTTATATAATGATATGTCAGGACTCATAAGAAAAAATTTAAAAAATATCGTTATATCAAATTATACCGATATTTATATGTCCTCATATATAGTGGGAATGTAAAATTTTATCAGTATATCAAGTTTTTAATAATGTATCGGTATATCAAATATCGGTATATCGAGTTCTGACTGTAGATTTTAGAACAACTTCAAGGGTACTAGAACTAATTTGGATCTCTGTCGGTATAGGAATTCATTTATATATAGAAAAGAATAAACAAACATTAAATGACATCTTAAAAAAAATAAAATTATAAAAGTTTGGTACCTATATTTTCAGTGGGCTAGTTATTGGCAAGCACATTAGTTTGGAATCCAATGGGGTATATTTGATCTCCAATATGAAAATCTAAAAGGCTTTTCCCCTTTATTTCCTGTTACTGGAAAGTTAAATTACGCAAGATCAATGTCATATCACCTTTATCATATAGAAAATGATCTCCAACTTCGTGCAATACTTTGTATGGTGCCATTCATTAATTTAACAAGTCATGGATATTTTCTTGCATATGATGAAGCATTGGAAATGTTTAATGTCAAATTTGTAAAACAAAATATGACAAGAATTTCTGCAGATAAAGAAGAACTAAAATTAAGAATTAGAGCTACACAATTAGAAAAAGAATGAATGGATATATTGATCTGTAATTACATTAATGATTCTGTACAAAGCTTCCAACCATGTCATATTTAATCCCAAAAAGAAAAAATTTGGGAACTTGTGCTTGATGCTTTTGAATCTGCAAATCCTTCTAAACATCCAATATTTGAATTCTGTAGTAATTTAAACAGTGAAGGAATTGATAAATTATTTATAGCATATGATATTGGAATTGAAAGATTGCAAACAATAGTTAACCAAGAAATTCTTTTAACTGAAAAGCATACAACTGTTAGAAGGAAGGCAAGAAATATAGTGCGCTTTACAGTTGCTAACATTAATAAAATGAGAAAGGGAAAAGAAGGGAAAAGAGGAGAAGATCGAGAAATAGGAAGACCAAAGGATAGACCAAGAGGTAAACCAAGAGGTAGACCAAAAGGTAAACCAAGAGAGAGAAGACAAAGAGATATTAACGAAGAGAAAGCAAACGAAAATTATTAATAAACTAACAATAAATAAAAAAAATAAAAGAGTAGCAACCCATTTTTGATGTTAATTTCAATTTTATTCAATTAAATAAAATTTGAATTACATTTCGTAAAACATTTTTAAAAAAATACAACAATTAATAAAATAAAAAAACAAATAAAAGAAAAAACCAAAAAGTAAACTTTGTTCAATTGGTTTATCACTGATACTTAAGGATGTTAACAGTTTGATCCGATTCATCCTAATCCAATTTTCATCAGTCCACAATCTGGAACCGGACTGAGAACCAGAATCGATCAGTCCTATAGGACTGTGGTCTGGACTGTAGTTTCATAAAAAAAATTTTAGCATTAGTTTGTTGCTTCGCATAATTTCTACCAAAATTAACAAAATTTCCTTATTTGGAATTTAGTGTAATCTTGTGCAACAACACACTTCAATTTTCGCGAAAAATTAAAATTTCCTTTTTTGGAATTATGTAACGTTAAACTGCCATAATTCGGGCCGGCACTATGAATTTTAGTTAAAAAAATTTTTTATAGGACCGTCTATAGGATTGACAGTCCTATCGGTCCAGTCCTAATGCGGTCCAGTCCAAAATCGGTCCCTAGGACTGGACCACGGTCTGGTCAGTCAAGACCAGACCATTAACATCCCTACTGACACTTCACGGCCCTGATAGATTTTCTTTGTTGTTTTTGTTAGTCTGGACGTTTACGTTTGCTGGTACGCTGCTCCTAACTTTTACCATTTGCTGATGATACTACTCCTCCATTTGCCAGTGGTTCTGCTTCTGCATTTGCTAGTGGTGCTACTCCTCTATCTGCTGGTGGAATAAAATGAAAAAATAATAAATATAAATAAATAAATAAATATATTAGAAAAGAATATACGTGACATCTAAACTTACCATCTGCTAAGGTGGCCTAAATTTACAAAAAAAATCTTACATCAGAGACTAAAGGTAAAGCATCCTTTCTAAACAAAAAAAAATAAATAAATAAGAAATTTAAACCACCGGCCACATATAACTAACTTTTAGCCAAAAATTAAATGAATAACAAGAAAACAACTGTAAAAAATGAAATATAATAAAAAAGGCCACTTACAATAGTAAAATTCAGTTTTTTGCAATTTGTGTGAAATCTGACTAAATAACCGTTATCATAAGTTTAGAAAAACTTTTTCCTCTCGTAAATTTACATATATTACTACCATTAAAACTGTACATTTCTTCTTACCCCAACTTAGATCTTGACAAAAGCTAGTTTTTAAAGCGATTTTTCAACAAATATGTTTATTTAACGAAAAGGGAAAAGTATGGATAAAAGTTGATGGAACACATGATAATCCATCGATTGTATAATTTACTTGAACGTGATACATAAGATTTTGACAAAATGAAGTGTTCCGATTAACATTACACAAAATTCGTTTAATATGAAAATGATCTGCGTGTGACATTTCCAGTGACTGATATTATTAAAACACATTAAAGCTTAATAAATAAAACAAATTTATTCTTATAACAATACTTTCACAAACTTACCAAAATCTCAATCATAGTCATGCACTTGATACGAAAGGAAAAAGAAAAAAATCCTAAACCTATTACCTTGCTACATTAGATTAGCAAATAGATATTAAAAATCTACCAACTGGGTATCATATAGGACATTCGCCAAAACCAAATGTTTGTAACACATGTAATGCTAAATTAAATAATGATAGTGATATTATCTGTGGATGTGTTATAATAATTTAAAAAATAGATGTATCATTATAAACAATATTATAAATGAGATGTATTTGATAATGTAAAATCATTTTTAAATAGATTACAAAATGGAACAAGAAAATGATGAAAATGTAGATGAAGAGGCGATTTAACTACAATATCATTTAAACTTTGCTTGATAGTAAAGAAAAAACAATAAAAATACTATTATTTATAATACAAGTTTATCAGTTTCTTTTTCATTATTCATAAATATAAAAACACTGAACCAGGGCATAGAAAACAAGCTAGAGAACGGATGTGTTTACTTAGTAAAAAAATTATGTCATAGCTACGTATTTTTGATATATGATATAAATAATTGTGTGACAATATGGGTCAGAAATCAGAATTTTATCATCTATTTAAAACCGTCGCTTGTTGATTAAGACCGTCTCTTGTTTGATCTGTAGAATATTTCTATAAATAGCTGTATTGAAGTATGGCAAGCCTACCGTACAGTTACAGTCAAGCAGTTCAAATGTCTCCAGAGAAAGTGAAAGAGCTAAATGAGCGTAAGAAAAAGTGAGAAAAAGTGTGAGGAAGAAAAAGATCGTGAGAAGGAGTTGTATAGTAAAGAATGTGTTGCCCGTTGTATCAACTTTGTTGTCGGTCAAGCAAGAGATGAAGTCGCTGACTTGAATATTCATGATAGATTTTCCTGTTATTTAGCAACAATACTTGCAAGGGACAAAGAAGTAGTTGCATTGTGGTTGAGAATTTTAAAAGATAGCAGTGAAATTTACATTTCTAAGAACTTTGATTGGCTCAACGAAGATGCGAAGTATATTGATGATATTACGAATTATCTGAAAGTTATATCGAAAAATTCTCCCATGAAATCAACAGATATCGAATCGGCTTTTTACCTGGCTGTGATGTCATACTGCAGAACTAAATTTGAGTTTAGATGGGATAAACTTAAGAATGATATTAATAATGGCGATAATGAACACGTTAAATCTTTAAGAAATTATATTTCGGCAGAGTGTGGTGATTCAGCAACTCCTATCAACATATCCCTAGTTTGTTACGAGTATTATAAGCAAATTAAAGCTAAAGTTAATCCTAACATCTCCCAAAAATTTTTAGGCCATATTAAGAAAGTGGGATCTTATTTTGGGTCTATTAAAGGTATCATAGATTGTGCAATGAATATACAATATAAACCACTATTCTCTAACATTAAAGTGAATAGCGCAAGCCCTGTTATCATAAATAAACAGCCCATATATTCATGGGAAAATATTATCAAAAGGTTTATTAACGAAGACGAAAACAAATATAATCGTTTCATGACTAGGTGTTTGGAAAAGCCTGGAGTAATGGAAAGAATCCATAAAGTATATACCGACAATGCCACAAAACAACTACAACTTAACGATAACGTTGAAAAATGTATATACTTACATGCGGAGATGCACATTTTGGCCTCCTTAATTATCGACAATGATTTTAAAAGTAGGGTGTTTATAGCAGTGTCAAAGAGATGCTGTTACTTGTGCGAACTTTATATTAATTTTGCAATAGAACAAGGATATAACATCGTCGTCCCCGGGAAACACCAGAAATTATATGATAGATGGTTACTTCCGCATGTAAAGAATAGCGACTTCAAGGATAAATCCCTGAAATATATACTAGAAAAACTTGATCAAATCATAGAGAAAAAAATAGAACGCTATACCAGGAGTTTACCGGGGGATTCTGACAGTGGCGGGAACAGTCCAGATTTAGATGATGATGGTAATAATAGATATCAATATATAAAATATAAGGGATTTATAGGAAGGTTTGATAATGTATGTAACAAAATGGAATTAAAATTTAAAATTTAGAAAATAAACAATGTATGTAATTTTCATTTTGTGAGTTTTTATATAAAATATTATAATTAGGGAATATTAGGAGAAAAAAAGTGTAATTGCAGGAATGAGCATCAATAAAGCATAAAAGTTCAAAGCGAAATTATTTTTCTTGTAAATGAATGTAAAAAGTTAATTTAAAGGATAATGAGTTTCCATACTATCTAATGCTACTTTTCGCCTATCTACTACTACGCTTTCATTTCTATTCATATAATATACAAAATTATATTAACGCAAGAGATGAAGTGATTTCGGATATACCATGGACAAAATATCTTGACCATTTCGGCCGATTAGTTTTTGTTTACAAGCACTCAATTAATGATCGTTGATATATTTGGGGTTCAAATAAATAAAAGAGTTTCATTAATCAAAGGTTTATATAATTTGTAAATGGTCTATGGATCGATCTTTAATATTAATATGACCACATCACATAAATCTGATCAATGAGCACTTCTCTAATTTAAAAAAATAATTTACCTTTTTTTTCTTTAAGAACTGACTTGGATTTGAACTTGGACTTTGGAATGACTTGGATGGCTTGGATTTTGTAAGGTAAATGTAAATTTCTTTTTTCTTTTTTCTTGGAAATGTCATTAATGTTCCTTTTACTTCTTTTCTTTACTAGGGAACATTCTTTCTGGGCCTGGATTTCGGCTTAGGCTATAAAGGTTAGTTGGAAAGGGTATTTTAATGTTTTTTTATTTTTGGGAATATTATTAACGTTTCTTTTGTTTCTTTTCTTTAAGAAACACCCTTCCTGAACCTGGACCTTAGCTTGGACTATAAAGATAAGTTGAAAGGGTATTTTAATTGTCTTTGAGAATGTTATTAACATTTCTTTTTCTTCTTTTCTTTTAGAGAGTGTCTCCTTGGACTTGTTTTCAGTTTGGATTATGAAAGGTAAGTTAGAGTGGGGTCATTTCAGTTTCATTAAAATATTACTAATGTTCATTTTCTTTCTTTTCTTTAAGGAATACCAATCTAAACCTAGATGTTGGCTTAGGTTATATATAAATTTAGTTGAACTTTTGTTGTTTTGTCATTGGGAACATCATTTAACGTTCTTTCCTTTTTTTTACTTAAGGAACGCGTGGATTTTGACTTGGGTTATGAAGGTAAATTAGAAGGTGGAGATTTTCATTTTTTTTTGCTATTGGAAACATTATTAATGTTCCTTTTTTTTTCTTAAGGATGTTCTTTCAGATTTAGATTTTGGCTTATATTTGAATTGTAAGATAGGAAGGAATATTTTATTTATTTTTTTTATTTTTTTTATTCGGAAACTTTTGCCCTTTTTTTTTAAAAAAAAATTTCAAAATAAAGGAAATATTTGAAAATTTTGTTGCTGAGAATCTGTTAGGTTGCCAACTTGCCAGCTTGTCAGTGAATTGAAAAATAATGAACATGCGATATGTTATATATATAATATATGTAAATGTATAATTATAAAATACAGTAGTATCATTAGTATGATACCTTTATTACCTTTACCTTTAAAGACCTTTACTTTTACTGTTTTATTTGAATAATAACTTTTTTGATATTTCATTTGAATGCCTGTCCAATTGTCTTATTTGCTTAGATTGTCAAAAATATTTTTTCAAAATATTATAAGAAAATTAATCAATATGATGCATGAAAAATTGAAGTAATAACTGCCCTAAATTAAATTTTTAATGCCTATATTTTATGAAATTCAATAAATGAAGATAAAATAAATATGTTTACTTTATATTTTTAGTTTTATTTTATATTACAGTCAGACCCCCATATAGTCACCTAATTGGTTCCCATAAAATTAGTGATGTATAGGGGTGTGATTATATAGAGATCCTGGGCGAAACCGAAATATTTAGTCATTTGACTAAACCAAAATAGTTTAGACATTTAAAATTAAAAGACGAAATGCCGAAATTCAATATTCCATAGTATTTCCATGGATTTTTTATGGATTTCTATGGATTTTTAATTATAATAATTGCTTATAAAAAAAAAAATAATAAATTTATATTAAAATATAATATTTTTTAAAGGAATTTATAAAACTATTTTATTTATAATATGGATCATTTTAACGTTCACCGGAGGTGAAATTCACCATATCACGTGATATTTATTATTAATTAAAATTTAGTAAAATTCATCGCATCAAATTTTTTTTGTATTTGAATAAACATGTAAAAAAAAGTTTTTTCTATTGACCATTTAAGCATAAATTTTTAAAGTTTTATTGACAAAAAGTTTCTTTTTAAATTAACATAACTTCAATTAAACTAGTATTACACCCATCCACTAACCATTTAATCCAGATTTTTTATTAATTTAAAACCTATAGTATAAATGCATAATATATAATCCTTTATAATAATGAAAATGAAATGAAAGTGAAATAGGTTGATGAAAACAGAAATGGGATGATGTAAAACAAAATGAAACAATACAAAGTGAATTGAGATGATGAAAAATAAAGTGGAATGTTGCAAAACGAAATGGAGTGATGAAAAACGATATGGAGCGATATGGAGTAATGAAAACTGATATGAAGCGATATGGAGTGATGAAAACCGATATGAAGCGATATAGAGTGATGAAAACCGATATGGAATGATATGAAGCGATATGGAGTGATGAAAAACGATATGAAGCGATATAAGTGATGAAAACCGATATGGAGCGATATGGAGTGATGAAAACCGATATGAAATGATATGAAGCGATATGGAGTGATGAAAAACAATATGAAGCAATATAGAGTGATGAAAAACGATATGGAGCGATATGGAGTGATGAAAAATGATATGAAACGATATGGAGTGATAAAAAACGATATGGAGCGATATGGAGTGATGAAAAATGATATGGAGCGATATAGAGTGATGAAAAGCGATATGGAGTGATGAAAAGCAATATGGAGTGATGAAAACCGATATGGTGTGATGAAAAGCAATATGGAGTGATAAAAAGCGATATGGAGTGATGAAAAGCGATATGGAGTGATGAAAAGCGATATGGAGTGATGAAAACCGATATGAAGCGATATGGAGTGATGAAAAGCAATATGGAGTGATGAAAACCGATATGAAGCGATATGAAGTGATGAAAACTGATATGAAGCGATATGGAGTGATGAAAACTGATATGGAATGATATGAAGCGATATGGAGTGATGAAAAATGATATGGAACAATATGGAGTGATGAAAAATGATATGGAGCGATATGGAGTGATGAAAACCGATATGAAGCGATATGGAGTGATGAAAACCGATATGGAACGATATGAAACGATATGGAGTGATGAAAAATGATATGAAGCGATATAGAGTAATGAAAAACGATATGAAGCGATATGGAGTGATGAAAACTGATATGAAACGATATGAAGCGATATGGAGTGATGAAAAATGATATGAAGCGATATGGAGTGATGAAAAATGATATGAAGCGATATGGAGTGACGAAAAATGATATGGGAGCGAAAGGGACAATGATAAATGAAAAGGATAATTAAAAACAAAGTGGAAGCAAAGGGAATGGTAGAAAAATAAAAATACTAGCAATAAAAGTGAGTCTTACCTTAACTTCTTGAAGTTATTGAAATTGTTGTTTTCTAAAAAACAAGTTAACAAGTTAGCATAAGAGAAAAAGAACATTAAACTAGCGAAGTAATAAGAAAATAAAAAAATCTTACCTTAAGAAGTTCCAGTAAAAGCTGGTCATTTTGAAAATAATACTACAAGAAAGCAAAAAACAAAATATGCGTTACGCGTTTGTGTAATATGAAATCACCTGGTGAATTTCACCGGGGTAAATTTAAAATTTTAATAATTTTAATGCATTGCAGATCAAGGTGAAATTCACCCCGGTGAAATTCACCGGAGGTGAATGTAAAATTAATCCTTATAATATAATTTAATATATTTTTATAATAAAATTATAATTTTATATAAATAAAATTTAAACTTAAAAAATATTACTATATAGTTTAGTCAATGACGAAACCGAAACTAGTTGGTGACGAAACCGAAATTTTTGGCAAAAAGAGTTTAGCCAGGTATCACTATGATTATATACAGGTACTATATCTTAATTTTGGCCGAAATTAGTAAATTATAATTTATAAAATTACGTGATCATTACAGATATTTCCTTTTTTGGTGATAGCTGTTCCACAAAAAATTTTTTGCCGGTTTTGTGTTGGAATGTCATGTAACATTAATTCCTAAAAAGGAAAGAAAAATTATATGTTTCGTAATTCTGGGCAAAATTGTTTTTTAGCCGAAATTATGATGTGATTAATAGAGGTCTAATCACTAATAGAAATGATATATCTGTTTGGGATTACAGTCAACTCTCTTTATAGTCACACATTTGGGACAGTCCATATTTGGTGATTATGAGCAAACAGTCTTATGACTTTATCTTTTATTATAAATTTTTAAACGAAGAGTACAATAAACAAATCGAATAATATTACAAAATATAGAAAATTAAACAAAAAATAAAAAAACTAGCTTCACGATTCATACAAGTAAAGAAATCTAAACAAAATAAAATTAAGTAAAGAAAAACTAAACTATTACAGAAACGCATACCCCATCTTTACCCGAAGGCCAGTGTGAGTCAACTATCCAGCATGTCCTAAGATCCAATCCATTACCAAAAAGAAATCCTAAGTAGAGGCTGAACTGTTAAGCGGCGCCAAAAATCCAAGTGCGAGATCCAAGATCCACCACGGATTATAGAAAAGGAAACCCAAGAAACCCAGGAATCCAAGGAAACTGTCGCCAAGGAAGGTGTCGAAGTGTTGAAAGGAATGTTAGAGGAAGGAAGAAAAGTAGAAG